CTCCACAGACTGGATGCTACGAGCAAACCAAGGACACGTTCTGGAATCTGCTCGATGAAAAGACAGCTGAAGTGCCGCTACAGGTAGCCATAGTTGTCGCAGGTGACCTCAACGGTCACGTGGGTGCTACGAAAGACGGTTATAGCTGCCACGGGGGTTTCGGATATGGGTCACGTAACACTGATGGCGAGCGAATTCTCGAATATGCAGACTCGCATGATCTCACCATTGTAAACACGAGATTTCGCAAGCGTGACTCTCATCTCATCACCTTCTATAGCGGTGAGAACAGAACGCAAATTGATTTTGTCCTTGTTAGGCACCGCGATCAGGGGCTCGTAACAGACGCAAGGACAGTTCCCTATGAAACGGTTGCAACACAACACCGACCACTGATTTGTACGTTAAAGATCGCCCCGCCGAAACCGAAAATAGCAGAAAGGTGCGGGCCAGCGAGAATCAAGTGGTGGCGACTGAAGGAGAAGGAAGAGGCCGTCGTTTCCAGCATTTTGTTATCAGCGGTAACGACTGTCGACGAAACTTGGAAGGGAGCTGAGGAAGCGATAACCCGGGTTGCACGGTCGAAGCTCGGCGTGACCAAGCCTGGACGGCGAAAGCTCGATAAGCAAACATGGCTGTGGACGGACCATGCCAGGGATAAAGTCCGTGAGAAGAAGAAGCAGTACCACCCATTTGTTATCGAAAAGACGGCTGACAACTGGCANACCACTAACCAGTGTGGTTTCGTAGCTGGTTGTAGCACCATCGACGCCATATACGCCGCCCGCCTCCTTCTAGAAAAGCATCGCGAGAACGTAGACCTTTACATCTTGCCTTTCTAGACTTGGAAAAGGCTTTCGACCGCGTTCCACGTGACGTTATATGGTATGCCTTACGATGCCAGCATGGCGTACCCGAAGAGCTCATTGAGTGGGTGCGCATCCTTTACACTAGCCCAAAGAGCCGAGTGCAAACGGCAGCGGGCATATCGACGGAATTTCCCATCTCCGTCGGAGTACACCAAGGCTCTGCGTTATCCCCACTACTTTTTGTTGTCGTCATGCCATTACAAAAGATCTCCAGAAGCCGGCTCAATGGACGCTTCTTTATGCCGATGACGTGATGCTCGCCAGCGAAGACAAAAGTGAGCTCGAGTCACAGGTGCAGACCTGGTCCGACCGTCTGGCTATGTTCGGGGTCAGGTTAAACGTCAAAAGACTGAGTACCTGACCACTGATTCGAGCGAGCCAGGCCCTATCAAGTTCAATGGCACTGAGCTCACACGGACAACAACCTTCAAGAACCTTGGATCGGCAATTGCGTCTGATGGCAGCCTGGGTTTTGAAACGAAATCTCGCGTGAATGCAGCGTGGTTGAAGTGGCGCTCAATGACTGGCGTACTCTGCGATAAGAACATCCCTGAGCGTCTCAAATCCAAGATCTACAGAACCGTCATCCGGCCGGTCGCAATCTACGGCGCTGAATGCTGGCCTGCAACCAAAGAGGTTGAAGCCCGTCTCGGCGTGATGGAGACCAAAATGCTGCGCTGGACAGCCGGAGTAACACGCTTGGACCGTATAAGTAATGACGCCATCAGGGAGCGATTCGGTGTTGCGCCCATTGTCAATAAAATGCGCGAAGCTCGTCTACGATGGTATGGTCATACTCTCCGCGCAAAGAGCCACAGTGTCCGTAAGATCGGTCTCAACCTTGACGTGTCCAGAAAGCGGCCTAGAGGACGTCCAAAGCAGCGATGGCTCGATACGTTGCACGAAGATCTTAAAGCGGTTAACATCCACCCCGATCAAGCGTTCAATCGGGAGAAGTGGCGTCAACATATCAGAAAAGCGGACCCCGCCTACAAGCGGGACAAACGCTAAAGAATAAGAAGAAGACTATTCAAGAAAAAATCGGCACGACATTTTTCAGCCTTACACTCACGCATTTTAACGATTGGGAGTGGAAATTAGTTTGGGAGGAGGGAGAGGGGGGGCACTCTCAACAACGTCTATGTATAGCAAGGATGGGCACCGTTCATCTGTGCACCGGTTTGCGGTTTTAGCCAGGGGATGCAGTTTTTAAATAAGCCATTAAGAGCCTAGGATATCCGGGGTGGGTGAGATGACTACGTCGTGTGAAAAGCTAAAAACTCCCATACCCCGATGATCCTTCCCTCCTGAGCTTTAGTTTAAAAAACTGCATGTCCATGGTGTATTACGGAATAACATGAACCCTGCATGAACATGTGTACCCTCCGCATCGATCATCACTATACCGCACTGCTCTAAAGCTCAAGAAGAGTAGCCAGAATACCGTATATAATGACAATTCGGACACGCAACGCATTTTCCACCTATTAATTTAATTTAATTTACGTCTTTGGCGCTAGCCTTACAGCTGCAAGTGTAAGCGTAGCGCCTTACGGTCGCAACGCAGTTTTCTTAAACGATGATTCATCGAGTACTTTCAGGGCGAGACAACGACTCGGAGAGCTTCTTCGAGGAATCGACTTCACGCACGGACCGAGGACGCTCGGGTCGCACAACTGCCTGCCTCGAACAATGCCTTGTTTGTATGGCTCTTCTCATCAACACTTTCTCAATTTCGTCTCATCATTATTCACTGCTTTATGTTATTTGTAGTAATACTATTGTTCATTATCACTCCTATATTCATGTATTAGTTTATGTTTTTTTAAAGATAAACATGATATCCCTTATCGTATGTTGGATGAAAGAAAGGTTAATCCGCTTCCACTGCGCACGATGCTTACTGGTAGCAGCGAGTGGTTCGCCACTCGTCGTAGGTAAGTACGGTGGCAGCGTTTGAGTTTCGAGGCTCCTCTCCGATTTGAACTGGCCAGTCTCTTCGGTGGGAAGATGGCAGACGGGCGCACAAAAAGCTTTCGCCCAAAAGGTCGATTCCGACAACGCATACCGTAAGCTTCTGCTACTTTCTCAGATTTTTTCGTGCTTCCGCTACCCGGGTAGGATTTTTTTGATTGTCCGACCAGCTTCTTCGTGTCCAGTGGTTGAGAAAGCTTGTTTTTCGAGCACGGTTACGGTATGGCTCTCACCCAAGAAAAAGAGCGTGCACTTTGCATCTGGTGGGGAACGATTTGAACGCCAACAAAAGGAAATGTTTGTAGGGATTGGCGTGTATGACCCCGGGGTACGTGCGGCATTATGGAAGGGTGCACCCAAGATTCTGTGTTAGTATGGCAATTACGATATAGTAATTAGCTCGCAGCCGCACGTGTTGAGATCCTCTAAATCGCTGTTCTTTTGCCGCTCTCAGCGAGTTCTTTTTCTTCATTCATTCACATGAAAATCTACCTTTCCGACCCGATGGGTCCGCAACAAAGAACTACTTTTCATGGGTCCTGGCGCGCTGGTCTTCCTTTTGGTAGCGCTTATAGGCCCATTTCGATATAGTTTCCGTTTATAACGATAACATTGATATTATAAACTAATGATAGTTATTGCAAGCTCGTCTTATCGAAGATTCAGAAACCAAGAGAATAAGCGTTCGTTTCTGGTCCTTTGTTATGAGTAATCCGCTACGAACTCTCGCATGCCTGTTTACAGGCAAACGTAGTAAGGGCGCCCCACTCTTTGTCCCAATCTGACGACGCACAATCATCTCCACTGTCCAACTTACGTACCCAATCGAGCTCCTCACTCGAAAAGAGGGGTCAAACGGTATTCCCCTTCGGTGAACCACGTCTGCTATATAAGACGCATAAAACTCCTGGCAGCGCAACAACACAAGTGGTATCTCATTGGTCAGTATCTCTTCCATTCCTTTCTTCCATACATTTCTTCGTTTACACTCGGACACTCTTTTCATTAACGCAAAACGTTTTCCATGAGAGTTGCTTTGTATGCTCCTACGCACTTCTCTTGATATATGTTAACCTCCTTTTATTTTCGGTAGTCATAGGAAAAGCCTTCAATAGGCGTAATCGCGTTCACAGGTAAAACAATCGTCCACTTTCAACATATTTATCGATACTCTACGTCATAACAACCGTCTCTTCTTCTTCTTCTCTTTTCTTACTTTTGGTTCATAACTCAGAGTCCAGTGACTCCTGGTCACTTGTCTGCTGACGTGAGTAATTCTAAGTTTTTACTTAGATAAAAGGCGTGGTCTAACAAATAGAATAATACTTTCTTTTCTGTCCGTCTTCTCTCACTCGCGGTCCACGTAGGCTGTGGTGTCATAATTTGATGGTCGTGGGCATTCGACCATTTCTTTCAAGTATTCCACCGTTTCCCTCATTTTGTTCTACTTCAAGGGGAAGTATCGCGCATCTCGATCCCGCTCGCAATCCGCTGTATTCAGATATCACTGTACATATAACTTCGCTTTATATGACAGTTTTAGCTTCAGCTCCGGCCGAAGCTTACCGATAAGCTACAGTATCCTCCTCTCTCAGTAGTTGACTCCGCCCCTTTTCCGTCCATCAGCGGCCGCGCAGGTCACTCGGTCATTGTCTACAGTTCGTTCCTCGAACTGTAGACAATGACCTCATACGCTCTTTCATTTGCTCTCTCTTTTTCTTCATGGGTCCACCGACGACGAGGTCTCGAGCCAACTCACCGGACTCTAGGGCACTTGCCCCGACGCAAAGAACTGCTTACGCCACGGCCTCCTATCAGCTCGCAGGCGTCTTGGGAGATATCGACGATCAAGCTAAGGTTCTTGGGCGTGATGCTAAGCGCCTGTGTGATGCATCGGTGTTTGCCATTGCTGAGGCTCGGGAAGATGCCAGATCCGAGACCGCTCACCTCTCCCAGAAGATCAACGAAGGTAGCGAGGTTCTGTTATGCGATTTGAATCAATCTTTTGCCGCCGTGGGGAAACGTATCAACGCGCTTCCGATGGTAGCGAATCTCACTCCAGACGGACCTTTGCCCAGGGTTATTCCTTTTACTGGCTCCGGGGAGGACCCAATGCAGTTCTCTCTATGGCTTAGGCGCCTGGAAGACGTGATGAGAATGAAGTCAACTGCTTGGACCAGCAAACAGAAGGCGTTTTTCTTGATTGGTCATCTTGATGGTATTGCCCGCGAGAAGATCGAGGAACTGTCGAGTGAGGAGCATGAAGACTACTCGTGGCCCACCTCAAGCAGTCCTTCGAAGGTCCTCAGTACAGATACATGGCTCGCCAATCTCTGGCGTCCTGTCGACAACAGGTCGGCGAATCAGCAGCGATATTCGCCAACCGCCTGCTGCTCTTGGTTAGAGCAGCTATGGCTGGTCATGACCCGGCTAGCCAGAAGGAACGCGTCCTCGAGGAGTTCGTAGCCAGACTTAGACCGGACATACGTTATTACGTCAAACTGGATAATCCGGCGACATTCGAGAAGGCCGTTGCGAAAGCACAGATGGTGGAGCAGTTGTTAGCAGAAGCCACAGCAGATCGCCTTATACGACCATCGCAGCCAGCGCAACCCATTGAGGTAAAGGCAGCCATAGCCCCGCGCAGGGATAATACGGGGCCCCGTCACAACAAGCGTCTCACGCCTAGGGCTCGCGCATCTTATCAATCGTTTCAGGGTATTCGGAGCGCTGGACCTCAGCAATCTGGTATACTCGCTTCTACATGCTTCAACTGCGGTGGATCCGGAAATTATTCTCGAGTTTGCCCTACGCCACGCGCTAATCGACGTCAGCCAGGTACGGGTTCTTTTTCCTCTCGTCCTCAGAGACGTTCTCGTACTTCTAATTTTTCTTCTTCTCGTAAAACCGATCACGATTTGCGACAGGCTCGTTAACAAATCAGGGCATTGTCTCTTTCGTTGCGCGAGAACCAATCGGCTCTCGAGAATTCCGATGCTAGGGTAAATGCTCTCATCAAACGTAATGAAGAACTTGCAAATTCTGCTTTCGGCAATTCAGTTACATCACGTTCATCCTTCTCCCATTCTGCTTCACAAGTTAAATTTTTATTGCCTATTTGTGTATTGCTATGCTTTGGTTATTCAGAGGCACTAACTGCCCCAGCGTGGCTTTGCCCACGCGATCAAGCCGACTCTCTCGTTCGTATTCCTCTTTCTTACAACTGCTCACGCATTATGCCGAATCTTAATGAAAAGCTCCGTTCTCTGTCGGTTCAAGTTTATCGTCCTAACACTAAACGATATGATACTCCTGCTTCATTGTGTAAAATTATTACTCTTACTATCACATATCCGTAAACTTTTTTGGAGCTCGCTATGAGAGCCGTAGCCGGAACTTGCCTCCTTAAAGACGGATCCATGCTTTTGTGGACTCCCGACAAGGAAGAAGAGTGCCTTTTTCTCCCTGTCATGAAAATGCGAGGGCACCGTCTAGGGGACATATGGATCAGTGACTCCAGAGAATTTGCTCTGTCTTGGACTGACTCCAGTGTTCGCGTCAAAGATTGTGGAGCCGACCTCACCGTTTCCGACCAAGGTTACGCCATCTCCACAGTGACCCGGAGAACACGTTCGTCTGATTCGAAGGCCGGGATCGTAGCTTCAAATCAACTAGCGGCCCAACTTCTAGCAGTGGAAGGATCGATGAGCTCTGCAGTTGCGACGCTGTTTTGCCATGCTCTTTCAGCATTGTGCGATCGCACTAATCTGTTAGCGTTCGCACTTCACACCTCGTTGGCGATTGATCCTACTTTAACGGTCCGTAATCTTCTGGATAGAGACGACATCGCCGCCACGTTTTTGGGCAACGACCTCCTTCAGATTCACCACTGTATGTTAGTTCCTCCCCGTAAATTCCGGCTCGTTCCGTTAAACAGCACGTGCTATACTAAATCTATCGCCGAGATCACCTTTCCCGGAGGTTCTACAGTTCATTCTTTTATTGACACGTCCACTTTGGTTCTGTCTCACGAGGCCCCTACAGCCCCATGCGCCAAAGCGAACACGTTCTATTTTGTTCAAGGGGCGTCCTACTTGAAGTTCAATGCGTTGGCAGGAACATCTGAAACGTTGCCATCCGCCTCCATTAGGAACGTAGGTTTTCCTAGCGGATTAAACGCATCTCTCCCGCTCACTATTTTCCATAACCTCATCTTGACCAATTTAAGTGAGCTCGTTCAAGACCACCAGTGGTCGGAACTATGGTCGTCCGCCTCCTCGGAACAACTCCTTCGCTTAGCTTCCTCTCCATCGCAATCGCCTTCTCAGAGCAAAGTCAACATACCGTCCTTTTCTTTCTCATTTTGGTCCCTCCTTTTTGGATCATGGTCTCCATTTGAGGTCTGGGTAACCCTGTGCTGCGCTGTGGTCTCAACGAGCATTCTTCGGACGCTTATAGTCTTATACTGCAACTTTTACTATCCAGGCTGGCAGATCCGACTTCGGGAACTCCTTTCCTTCAGGAGCTCTACCATTCGTCAAGAAGCGGCAACTCCACTCACCTCGTCCCTGTTGTTTCTCCGGTACTCCCCACGGCGCGTGCTCGTGATCGCGACCATATCGGATTGGCTCACGTGGAAATTGACGCCACCAATGCGTGGCCGCCTCGCGCATCGATCGCTCAAGTCGACGTGTTGTACCTATCCGATCGAGATCGATTCTTCGTGACGCAGATACCGATTAAGGTAAACGGTATCAGGGTATTGGCCCTAGTCGACACCGGTGCTTCTATAACCATTACGACCGCAGCAACCGCACCTTTGCTGGGCGTCTTCTCCATGGAAAAGAGCGACGTAATTAGCGCCGTCGGTATGGCCGGTGTACCAGTGCGCCTCCTTGGATGCGCCTCTCTCGCTTTCGAAATTGGCTCCTTGACTTTCGATCACCCGTGTTCTTCACCGACTCCGCCTGTATACCGGGAGTAGCCGATGCATACAACATTATCCTCGGCAACGACCTTCTTCGCAAACTGCCTCCTTGGACCATCGACTACGCTACTCGCACCTTTTCCATGGCTGACCAACAGGTCCAAATATTGTGTACAGCTCAAGCGGAGAATGACCAAATCAATGACCAATCGGTTACCATTCGTGTAGCTGAAACAACGGTGCTGCCGCCATCTGCAGATCGTTCGCTGCACCACAGGCTTAACCGACGAAGCTCCGTTGATGTTAGTCTCTCAAAGTGAGAAATTGACAGAGAAGTCTATTATGGTTACGCCAGCCGTAGTACGATCCGCTAACCCACTTTTACTGATAGCCAACCATTCTCCAACAGCCGAAACCCTGTATAAAGGACAGCAGATCTCTGCTGCAGTTCTCCTTCATCACGCCGAACTAAGTCCGTTTTCGACGCACCGTCTAATTCTTCCCCATTTGTGGGGCGAATAACGCCCAGGGCGGTGCGCCCCAATACAGAAAATCATTTCGAGGCTCAACGCATCGACCTCTCTCAGGCAGAGGTCTCTGATGCAGAACGTCAGCAGCTCACTGACCTTTTTCTAAGTTCAGGGATAGAATTTCCACGGGATCATATGACTTAGGGTCCTACGAAGACTCGGAAATAGTCACCAAAACGACTACAGATACTCCTCCAACGCGGTTTCGCCCGCCTCTCATCCCTGTCAAATTCCAAAAAGAACTTGATGACCACATCAATAAACTCCTCCAAGCAGGACGTATCGTCGAGAGCGACACTCCATGGATTCATAATACGGCCCTCGTAAAGAAGAAAGATGGGTCCCTCAGGGTCTGCCTAGATTTTCGACCGCTCAACAGCATTACCATTCCGGACCACTACCCCTTACCCAGAATCGACGACATTCTTGCCAAGATATCTGGTTCTACGCTACGCTCGATTCAGCGTCGGGATACATGCAGCTCCGTTTGCCTCCTGGAAGTCAAGCGAAATGCGGATGGGCTACTCACCGTGGCATTTACCAATTTGTTTACTTACCTTTCGGACTGAAGAATGCAGGCGCTTACTTCTCTCGAGCGATGGCCCGCATATTGGCCGGCCTTGAAGGGAATTGCTTGGCCTATCTAGATGACATTGTAATCTTCGATAAGGACTTCCCAAGCCACTTGGAATCCCTGCGCAAAGTCTTCTATAGATTCCGTCTTCACAACATCAAGGCCTCCGGCAAAAAACTTACTGAGATCGCTCGTTCGCGCATCAATTTTCTGGGTCATGAGATAGCAGGCAATTTTTACTCACCGGCACAACGCAATATCAGTGCAATTCAAGACTACCCCAAACCCACTTCCACCAAGGCCGTGAAGGGATTCGTAGGCATGGCTAACTTTTTCCGTAAGTTCATCCCAAACTTTGTCCATATAGCTGCACCGCTGTATGCGTTACTGAAAGATCAAGCCAAATTCGTTTGAGGAATAGAACAAGAAGAAGCTTCCCAACGACTCAAGCGTTTGCTCGTTTCCAAGCCATGTTTGTCCTTCCCTCAGGATAAGGAGTTTTTCTTGCACACGGATGGTAGCCAGAAGGCCATCGGTGCGGCTTTATCCCAGACAGCCTCGGATGCCGTTCAAAAGCAACTAGTGGCAGTTGGGTACTCTAGTAAGTCCCTCTCTGAATCTCAGCAGAAGTGGAGCCCTACCCACATCGAGCTATTCGCCATTATAAGCGCATTGAGGTTCTTTCGCACCACAATTTACGGCAATCATACGACCGTCTTCTCGGACCACCGCCCACTTACCTTTCTACTTCGACACAATAAGACACACGATAATCTGGCTCGCTGGGTGGTCGAACTGCAAAACTACGACGTCACTATCGAGTACATGTAAGCTTCATCTAATGTAGTCGCTGACGCGCTTTCTCGCGCAGTGAACCCCGAGAACAAATTTCAAGACAACACTGCAGAGGCTGAGGACATTGTCGATTTTCCGGTTAGCATCAACTTAGCCTTGGCGTCAACCTGCTCCGCACGACCAACTATTCATTGTCTTGGCCCTCCATTAGCCATTCGCCCATGCGATGCCCTCGAGGAACAACGTCAGGACCGCCTATGTAAGGCCATTTTCAAGTTTATCGAAACCCAGTGCTTCCCTGATGATTTAAGTGAAGACCAGAAGGCATCATGGTTATCTATCGCCGAGCGATGTACGATAAGGAAGAATGGTTGTCTTTACTATAACAGCAACCCCTCCTCAAATACTCCCTTTCGGTTTGAACGTTTAGCAGTTCCAGAGAAACTCAAGGAACCGATTTTTCTGGCACTTCATACCAGTCCCTCCTCTGGCGGTCACTTCAACTGGCGGAAGACTGTGGCTAAAATCGCTCGGAAATACTTCAGGCCCCACATGGCCGAAGACATCTTCGCTCTGGTTCGTGCTTGCGAACCTTGCCAACGCAAGCGTCCCAACCCATGAATCGGGAGCATCTGATTCCAGTTACTAGCGGCGCCATCATCGGCAAGGTTTATGTGGACCTCTGCGGTCCGCTTCATGTCACAGTAGCGCAAGCAATCGTCTCGGAATGTATCCTTAAGTTTGGCGTTATGACTCAGCTTATCTCCGATAATGCCTCATACTTCAAAGGTGAAGTCATGTCGGAAGTCGGACGGCTGCTCCGCATTAGCAGGTACTTCACTACACCCTACCATCATGAAGGAAATGGTGCGTGTGAACGTATTTTTGCCACTTTCCAACCTATGCTCCGTACTTACATAAATGAGAACCAACTGGATTGGGACAGGTATGTTACTGCATGCGCTTTTATGTATAACACATCAGTACACACTAGTACTAACAATACACCTTTTTTTCTGATGCATGGTCGAGATCCTGTCTTTAATAATGACCTCGCCAACGACAAAGGTTCAAACGTCAGCACGACCAGTCGCCTTTGAACCCTCTATCCGTCGCAGTCGGTGACCGTGTTTTCCTCGCCAACTTAGCACCTACGGTGGGACTGTCACGCAAACTTAGCTACCCTTGGCTGGGCCAATTCCGGGTAATTGAGGTGGATCTCCCTCACCTAACCATCGTGAGTATCTCAGCTCCTCAATCACCTCCTAAGCGAGTTCACATGAATCAGGTCAAATTGTGCCACTCGCTGACGGGCCCCGTATTCACCACACCATGGACTCCAGAGGTAGAACAATTGGCCCTTTCAGCTTCGGGTGCTACAGATGTTTCTATGGTTGGCTACCAACATACAGCAACTCCACCAACCCCACCACAGGCTTCAGCCCCCATTCACCCTTACAACACCCGCTTTAGATCCAGACGGACGTCCCTATAAGTAGTCAATTCACTTCCGCAGGCATACGTGCCGCCTCTGTGTTCCCTGATAGCTGCTCCGGACTGCCTTTGTTCAAACCCTTATGTTAACTCATGTTACTCCTCCTGAACTTCAATGATTCACTTCGTACATTGATTACCGCGTCACGTGCTCGTTTCTTCTTCACTACTTTATCATTTATGTTCCAGAAAACTTGAGTAGGCCCGAATATTCTTTCTAATGCTTTCTGTCGACATGAGTGATCCGCCGTCTACATCGCAACTTCCGGACCCCGATGGTCCACCCAGGTATTCCGTGGGTCCTCCCACGGGTCGCGTAGCGGCCGTTACAAAGAATTATTCATCTGCCTGCATGTCATTAGATGCCCATTTTTCTTTGCATTCTTTTTCTTCTTCTTCTACCGAAAGTCCAATGGACACTTCAGGAACCGCCGCTCCCAGCGACTCGGCCACGGAAGGTGACTCGAATGCGCCAACCTCCTCTGTCTCAGCCTCAACCGCCAGCGACGTCCTTCCTCCTCTCTCGCCTAGCGGTGCCCCCGTCGTTCGCGTAACTGCATCCATGCGACGGTTATCGGTATCTAACTCGCCTCGGCCTCCGGCTCGACCTTCGAGGCCCGTCTCACCCTCTGCCCCACCAGCGAAGTCGCAGCGCTCAGCCTCCGGTCGTCGCAGACCCTCAAACGCACAGCCTTCTTACCCAACATCTTCTCAGGATCGTCCGGAGGGTTCGTCACCAGTTACGCAGGGTGTTCCACGTAGATCTCAGCCCCGACCTTCGGGCCGCGGCGCTTCTTCCTCCATGGCTGCTGCTAGTCGTGACCTTAGAACAGCTCGGCAGTACCACGTCGGCCCGCTGCCCCAAGTCGATGTTGGTCAACTCCCTCAAAAAACCCCCCAGGTTTCTCCCATTACCTTATTCGTCGCCATCCATGGGCTTACCTAGTTAACCCGCGCCCTATGATATGCTTTGGGAAAACCTTCCAGTTGTGACCACCACCTTGAGTACGGAAGTCTACCGACACTTACCCGACAGCGGCTACTTGTCTCTCCGCTTCAATGATCGCTCTTCCCCCAGATCGTCATACGGACGCCACCTCCTCTACCGTCAAAGTTTCTCTTTATCAAGCTTCAGTCCCTTGAGGATGCGATCGCCTTCCGCGAGCGTTCTCAACGCGTCCTCAAGAACGTGTTAGCGGGTACCTACATGGAAACCGACGTTAGCGATTTGCCACAAACTTCGAGCGTTAAGCATCCTTACATAACCGCACCTCCGTATCGCAAAGGTTATCGCCCAGTACTATATCAAGTAGTGTCCACTTAATGGGGTACCGGCGTCATACTCGAGGCGAAAGATTTCTTCACGGTAGGTCCCGATAGGCGTGACCTACACTGCATCCTGCTAGACACGTTTGCGGTAGAAATAGTATGACATCGTCGTGGCTTCAATAAGCACTGGTTTTAGTTAAGGATTTCGTTTGGGTCTACGATGTCAAACCTACGCGTCAAGCTCTAAAAGAACCCCTCAAGTCTCTGGAAGAATCGCGCGTGTCTCGGACCACCATCGTTAATACCACCTCAGCGTTCTTTTTCAGAGCCTCTCATTTCGCCTTCGTTAGACCCAAGGATCACGAGTCTCCGATTTACGGTATGATCCTCAACCTAATTTCGCGCCACAACTCTGTCGTTCGTGCCCGCGCAGCCTTCGAAGGGTGCCCAGACGCCGTTACGTTCACCTCCGCTATCACTTCGTTCCCGCTCAGGCGTCTGTCGCAATATGCCATCGTTTCGCCTCGCTCTCGCGTTAACGTCTCCTCAGCGATGCGTTTTTCAGAGCCACCCGCTTCCCTAGAGGCTCGAGAACATCTGGCCCTTCTCATCCGTCGCTTCCTACCCATGCACCCAGATGAGGGTAAGCTTCCTCTCGAAGTTTTCAGAATTACCGAAGAAGAACGTGCCTTTTTCGAGGATCGCCTGGGACCGTTCAACAACTACGCTAACGACCCTGACGCTTCGAAAGCTAAGGTCGCCAAAATCTGTAGCGCAGCTTGTTCGGCACTGGTCGCCGTTAATAACGCCGATGACGATCGCCGCTCTCACCTGACCGACGCCACGACCGTCTGGCCGCGCTGGTTCCCTACACGCATTCGGTTCCACGTCCACGACATGCCTTAGGCAGGATGGGGACCTGGTCGTCATGCAGTAGTTTGGGTAGTAGGTTCTAATAACCTAATTCAGGTCAAGGTCGTACACGTCAAGCCCAATTCTCCTGCCCACAGACTGGACGTTACCGCCGAAGCCTTCCGCTGGTCGCACCGGGCTCTACAGCGCGCGTTCACCGCTCACGGTACAGGCATCGGGATCGGTCACACCGCTGGCATCTGCGTACGCCTTGTCAAAACCTCGGCCGCTTCAGATCCAGTGTATAAACTAGTGTCTCGTTCCTCTATGTTTGAAAACCTGCAAACGGACTCGATCGGTCACCAAGTAATCAACCTCGTCTTTGGCCGTCCTCGACCGAACGCAGATCAGCCCCTGCAACTTTGAGACCCTCCCAATCTTCCACAGGTAGATTGGACGTTCTCGGTCCAGCAACAAATGGTAGTCCTCACCCAGGATCAGAAAGAGGCTGTGCGCCTCGGTTGTTCTAACGAGCCCATAGTCGGTATACATGCAGCCTTCGGCACAGGCAAAACCCTCGTAGGCTCTATTATTGCTGCCCTGTCTTCTGATTCTCCCAACACTACCGTCATTGTCACGACGTCTACGAACGCGGCGGTAGCCCAGTTCACGGACACGTTGCTCTCTCTGGATGACTTTTCCCATCTACGAGTCGTTCGCCACATTTCAGATTCAGCCGCAGCCGAATTTCAAATCTGCATTCAAAATCTGCCAAACGGTTCTCTGAACGAAGTTATGGAGGTTATCTCCGGCGAGCGCTCAACAGGGGAAAGCACAAAAGCCATGGTCGCCGACAGTCCAGCAGTGGCAGCTTGGAATGGAGGCAAGCGTGACGCTTCACAAGCACGGGACAAGATCGGGTTTGATGGGCGGCGGAGACTTTGCATCATGCAGAACTTTTTCCTCCAGGTTGTAAAAATCTTTTTATGTTAGTTTTACCGCCTTCAGCGACTTTTCAGTTGCTGGAGGCGAGACAGTTCCTACTTAAACCGTCTTCCACTGTTATCGATTAGTTTTTGAAAAGGTGGGGGTCGTGGTCAGTTTTCAAAAACGGTAAGCGTTGCTATGTGGCAAACGCGGCAAAGAATGGTATATATGGATGGATGTAACACTAAAGAGCAAGGAGTATTCCGGATCCTGTAGTGTTGAACGCGTCCTTACAAGGAAGGAGCACAAGTTGATTGATAGTTTCTCCTCTACCTTTCGGAATCCCTTTTACGAAGACCTCGATATTGAGGACTGCGATAGGAAGAAGACTGCGTGATTGAGGACGAAAAGGCCGATCCACTGTAGGAACCGGATGATGAAGTGGAAACAGCAAGCACATCTAGAGGGTCGTTGATGTTTGGTAATGTGGAAGTGTCCAAAGAGCATGTGCAGGTTCTTCTTCCCAGGTCATTTGTTGGAGCGAGATAACAAACAAATCCAGGTGGAAAGCGCCATCAGAAAAGTGAATTTTTTTATTCGTTGCTCTCATTGTGAAAGACATTTTTTAAAACATTTCGTGCTAGATTATCGCATCCGCTTATAATAGGTAAAAGTTGCCCTACAGTGAGTTTGAAATGTATAACAATAAAAATAGAATTTTTGTAATGTTGGTGGTTGGAGTAGATGTGATACGATTTAAGTAGGAACTGACTCGCCTCCAGCAACTAAAAAGCCGCTGAAGGCGATAAACCTAATATAGAAAGGTTTTTCCAACTTGGATAAAAAAGTCCTGCAAGATGCAAAAATGCCACCGTCCAACAAACTCGATACTTAGTCCGCGCACTCTCTTGCTGAACTCTCGTATACGATTCCCGTCCCCACGCGTACCCTTTATGTTCATCCACATGGAGGGCACATCGGTGCAGGCTATAAGTAAGTCCCATTACAACACCGCTGAAGGTACCGTCTGCTTGCGCCTCTTGGACCTCCTTGCCCAAAATGATATCCCTAGGACGTGCATTTGCGTAATAACTTTTTACAGGGAGCAATTTCGGTACCTCAGAGAGCCGCTGTCCTAGCGCGAGATCGAGCTGACGACAGTCGACTCTGTGCAGGGACGCGAAAAGGACGTCGTCATAATCCTCACTACTAAGGGGAGTTTTGGATTTCGTAGCAGTACGCGCCGCATGGGCGTCAACCGCGCCGCTAGGGCGCGAAACCATATGAGGGCGGAGCCTCATATGTAGTTTCAGCCATTCCGGCTCATTTGGCAGTTTGTGGACGGTCGCTTCGACTTCGACATGGAGGATCACAACGATGAGGAGGTTCGCGTTCCAGAAGCAGAAGAGGACCTGTTCCAGATGCGGAGAGAAGATCTGGAAGACTTGCTAGCCCAAGCCAGGGAAGCTGGCATCGCATCCGTGCAGCAGCCGCCACCGGTCTCTACCGGCCTAGGCACCTCGGTTAAACCGACATTCAAGAAGACCGGACTAGCTAGACAGTACGAATTCAATGGAGGATTAATCGACATACTAGTACCGATCGCGGATGCATCGCAAGAAGGAGATGTCAGAGGCACTCTGCACCAAGCTTTGACGCTACTGCAGCAGAGGAATGAGCTTCTGGTCATAGCAGATTCCGACCCGGAAGTTTTTGAATTCTATGACCAGCATAGTAAAGCGGAATCGCTTAGGTCGACCAACCCGATTCTCGCAGCCTTCCTTCGAGAAAAGAAGAAAAAGGAGGTCAAGAAGCCTACAGCGCCCAGATCGGTGGTTTGGAGTAAGTATTCAAGCAGTGGTTTGTTCAAATCCGTTTTCGTAAACCAGAAGATTCGTTCTGTTTATAGCGAGTTCTTAGATTGTTCCTTCCAGGGTCGCGTTTTTCGGCAGGGTTCCAGGGCAGACAGCCCTTTCGCTTCGGAGGGGCGCCATGGGCCCGCGCCCCTCAAGCAGATGTTCCCGCCTTCCAAAGTCGTCAAAGCCATGCGCCTGGAAGATTCCAGCAGGCGGGCAGCCCCAGGGACATGTGCTTCAGCTGTGGACGGTTCGGCCATTTTGCCCATGAATGCCGCTCTTCAGGAAAGAGGTGAAGGTCAGTTCAGAGCAGGAAATATCCATTATAAGTGGCATTTTTGGCGTGATTTGAGTATGTCTTCTTTTGTGAGAAGATTACTATTAGACGGTTTTATCCCTATTTTGAGAGAAGGTTGGCATACTAGCCTTGAGAGGCCTAATTCTATCTCTACGTATGATCACAGTCATTTCGTAGATGGTGAGATACGAAATATGCTGATTAGCGGGGCAGTTCAAGAAGTGGGGAAAGGGTCCGTGAATGGTTTAAGGATCAATCCATTATCAGTGGCGGTAGGTAAGAAGCTAAGGCTGATTTTGGACCTCTCGCATTTGAATAAGTGGGTGGAAAAGTACAAGGTCAGATTTGAAGATTTGGCTAAGGTACTTCCATTACTTCCCAGAGGGGGTTTATGGGGTCTTTCGACTTAAAATCGGGGTATCATCACGTGAAGATTAAAACAGAATACACCAATCTTTTCGGCTTTAAGTGGCGAGGGACATTTTACAAATACTTGGTTCTCCCCTTTGGCCTCAGTTCAGCGCCCATGGTGTTTACCAAGTTGATGAGACCCCTCTTGGGCAAATGGAGGTCCCAGGGGATTAACGTAGCCATTTATCTGGATGACGGTCTGATATGGGCCAGTTCCGCACGCGAGTGTGAAGAATCGATACAGTCGATTAGAAGAGATCTTATGTATGCCGGCTTCTTCTTGGCCGAAGATAAATGTTCCTGGAGCCCTCTCCAGAAGTTGACGTGGCTTGGTCACGAGATTGATTTGAAAAGGTTCACTGTGAACGTTACCAAGAGTAGGGAGGACAAGGCTCGTGACCTTGCGAAGAGCTTGCTTCTGAGGAGGGGTCCCTCTCTGTTGGATAGGTTGAAATGGCAAGGCATTTTGGCATCCATGCATCTTATTATTCCTGCAGATCGGAGACGGCAATGGAAGGCGGTGATTTCTGCAATTGCCGAGAAAGAAAAGTTGGGCACCGCGTTATTATATAGATGGCCGCTTTCGAAGGACGAGAGGTCCGAGATTAAAGGTTGGTTGGATTGGAATTCTTCATTCGATGGCCTTTGCATTGATAGTTCTTATGAGCTTTGTAACGCGCTGCGGGCTTTTTCGGATGCTTCGGAATTGGGGATAGGCGGGATTCTTTATCTAGATAGGACGTCAAAGATCTCCTTTTCCGCAAATTTGCCTTCAGATTTAGTTGGAGACTCGAGTACCGCTAGGGGACTATATGCTGTTTTTCGAGGGATCAAGGCTTTCGGAGTCTACTTGAAGGGCGAGGAAGTCGCATGGCATTGCGATAATCAAGCTGCAGTTGCCATTTTGAAGAAGGGTAGCACGAATTCTAAGCTTCAGAGTATAGCCCTAGACATTTGGTCGCTATGCAACACGTTTTCAATAGAAGCAGAATTCTTCTGGGTGGCTCGGGAATTCAATACAGAAGCAGACGAAGCATCGCGCTTGCAAGACTTAGATGATTGGAGTATAAGGGACGAAATTTGTAGGGAGCTCCAGGAGGGTTGGGGAGACTGTACGAATGATATGTTTGCGAGCGACCATAACACCAAATGTGAAAAGTTCATTTCCAGATGGTTCTCACCTGCTGCAGTGGCGACAGACGCTTTTTCACCGGAGGCTCGTTTATGGTGGAAATCCGATTATATATGGTGGGTTCCTCCCCCTAATCTGGTAGCTAGGACAGTCAAGACGGCTTTAGAAAATAATAGCGCAGGTATTTTGGGCTTTCCACTCTGGCCCTCTCATCTATTCTTTGCTGAACTTCGTCAGGGGGGGAGGGGGGGGAGAGGTGGATTCCGCAAATTAGGAGTGTTAAAATATTCCCAGCCGGTAGTCCAGTGTTTAAGGAGGGCTCCATTTCCGACTCTTTTAGTTCAGAAAGGGCTAAATTTGGCTTTGTCTTTTGTAAATTTCAATGTTAGACCCCTCGCGCTTTATCCTTTTCCGTCGTACTGTCGAAATTCAAAACATACGTTTTGCCGTAGATATCGGAGGCAAAAGGGGAGTTTTGGATTTCGTAGCAGTACGCGCCGCATGGGCGTCAACCGCGCCGCTAGGGCGCGAAACCATATGGGGGCGGAGCCTCATATGTAGTTTCAGCCATTCCGGCTCATTTGGCAGTTTGTGCCCTCCCTCCCGCCCAAAATCTGGGTTAAGTTAGAGATCTTTTTAGGGTCGAAAGCCTTTAGGGCACACTCTGCTATACCCATTAGCTGTTTCGGGGTATACCGAGTTGCACGGGGGCGGCGTCGCTGCGGGATAGTCGAGGGAACGCCCCGAGATATGCGATACCGTTGGATACTTCATCGGGTCGAACATCTGGGGGTCAACGTTACGATATCCTTAGGTCGTCATAACTCCGGGTCATGACATAGACGGCCCCCGCAGATAGAAGAAGAGACGCGTCGCTAGATACATGATAGCCGTTGGGTATTTAGGTTTCGTTAGGGTCACCAGTAGAGACACGACCCCCTTTCATTTATATTCATTTTCTGCATTACAGAGAATCCGAAGCGAAGAAGAGCGAAAGAAGTGGCTTCGTTAGCTTCAGAGATGGGACTCTCTTCCATCGCTTCTCTCATCCGCAGCTGTTTCGACTCAGCAGTGGCTAAAGGGACGCTCAAGGCCTGCGAAAGGATCAGAGACGAGTTTCTGGGCTTCGTAGAAAGAAGCAGCGTTCCGGCATCAGGAATCCATAAACTCAGGAATCTATATTTAGCGTCCTTGATAGACAAGGGTAAGACCAAGTCTTTGGAGTTACACGCAGCAGCTCTCAATCATTTCTTAGGACCGCTACCCGTCATGGACCAAGACATACAGAGGGCTCTTCTTAAATCGGCTGCTAGAATTCGTCCCCCAGTAATCCATAGGACTAAAGCTTCTCATGGAGACGTAGACCAAGTTATACAATGGGCATTAAAAACGGGAACCGTCGAGGCTATCAAGATAGCTTCCTTAATTCTCCTTATGTCTGTCGCTTTCCTGAGGGTTAGCGAAGTCTGCAGTATTCGCTGCGGTGATATTACTTCTAAGGGAGACAACCTTTGGTGGCTTCTCTTGAGAAGATCAAAGGTCGACCAGGTAGGAGCGGGCACGCAAATAGCCTTCCGGTTTAAAGACAAACAAATAAGTCTTTGGAGACAGTTTCAGCGGGTTAATTTAGGCCGCAGAGCAGGGGATTTCCTTTTCAGTACAGTTCACGGGAAGGCCCCCTCTAGAGATTACGTAACTCGTAAGATAAAACAGGCTTTAGCGGACGCTGGTTTAGGAAAACATCGCCTAACTACACATTCTTTCCGCGGTGGGGCAGCGACTTGCGCAATTCGGGCGGGAGTTGCCCCTGAAAACGTAATGAGGGTGGGAAGGTGGAAATCCCACAAATCTTTCCTCTGTTATATCGAGCCCACACCTTTGGAGGGTTAGCCGCCTTGGAGTTCATACCCTCCCAGTATCTCGCACATACACTCTCTTTTCATTTCCAGATTATCCTCTCTCGTGTCAGATGAACCGGACGTTCTATCGAGGTCCGGAGTTAATAGTTCGATATCTGCACGGGATCTGGTCCGCAATCAATTGATCTCTGAACTCATAATTCTCTTGTATTTTGTACATAGTAACAGTTCATCCATTTTCCCATAATCTCAGCAATTTTTCAATGTGTACGGTTATTATCGATCAGTTCAATTGTACCGAATTTATTACGGGCTCATAGTGCCTTTGTATAGATATAAATTCATATTTGTAAAGAAAATAGTACCTTTGTATAGAACTAAAGTTCCCTATAGAGAAATAGGACTCCATTTTCGCAGCCTTATTGTATTCGCCAATTAATTGTATATATATTTAACCACAGTGGCATTGATGTACATATTAATATAATGATGTGATGGCGATAATCGCCGAGTAATTCGTAAATTGTTATTGTTCAACTGCCTAAATGAAGCCTTCACCCCCCGTCGTACTGTCGAAATTCAAAACATACGTTTTGCCGTAGATATCGGAGGCAAAAAACTAATTTCAGAACGAGTTCGGCAGAATTTTTAGACGACTACCGTAGGCTCAACGTCGCCACAACTCGCTGTCGGCATGGGCTTTTCCTCATAGGACACGCGCCCTCGCTACGCGTGATACCGACATGGTCCCGCTTGCTCGACTGGGCAGACTCAATTGGCGCCATCGTCCCTAACACCGGGATGAATAGATTGTTTTGAGACCGACCCCACATAGCCTGGTGAGACGGTTCTATTATTCCTTTGTTTTGTTCTTAAAGTCCGGGTCGGACTTTCGGTAAAGGGGGGAGGTGTAAGCGTAGCGCCTTACGGTCGCAACGCAGTTTTCTTAAACGATGATTCATCGAGTACTTTCAGGGCGGGACAACGACTCGGAGAGCTTCTTCGAGGAATCGAATTCACGCACGGACCGAGGACGCTCAGGTCCCACTACTGCCTGCCTCGAACAATGCCTTGTTTGTATGGCTGTTCTCATCAACACTTTCTCAATTTCGTCTCATTATTCACTGCTTTATGTTATTTGTAGCAATACTAATGTTTTATTATCACTCCTATATTCATGTATTAGTTTATGTTTTTTTAAAGATAAACATGATATCCCTTATCGTATGTTGGAGAAAGAAAGGTTAATCCGCTTCCATTGCGCACGATGCTTACTAGAGCAAAACAGCGCAGGTAGTTTTAAGGACTACATGCTTGCAGATATCGGTGAAAGAACTTCTTCCAGAACAGTTGAAGTAAATTCAATTGAAGAGTTGAGCTGATCAACTAAAGGAAGTCCTCGATCCACATGAAATCAACACAACAATAGTCCCCAAAAGTGAATAAAAGTAAGCGTAAAGCTACTGTAGTTGCTGTTAGTACGCAAGCGCAGGCTGCTATCGGTGTGTAAATTGCGTTTAAATTTCCCTTACTCGAAAACTTTACGAATCGCAGGAAGGCTTTAAAGGTTAGCCTGATCAGTTAATTTATGGCTTATAGCTAATTTATTTATTTCTCTAGAAAGCTCGGCTCTCTTTGAGGTGAATGTTTTGTTGTGATCATGCCTCTATTATTAACAAAATCCTGGTTCCAAGCGTCCTCTGGGGACGACTTTCCATTCTCTTACTGCTTCACTCTGCTTAAGAAGAAATTCGAAGGGGTCGAATTAATAGGTTACGATTTGATGGATGTATCGTGCCCTAAAGCACGTTTTCAAGAATTCTGCTAAGCCTTAATGAATGGATTTTTGTCATGCACAAATACGCACGAACTTAGCATTTGATTCGGTTGTCGTTGTTTTGGAAGCAATATCTCAGTGTAGGAACCTCTTGTCCCTGACCGTCGAAACTTGTCGCTTTTCTCGCGTTTCAGTGTTTTTGGAAAAATTCTTTTCTAACGTTATTTACTCAGGCCGTGATATATTCAAGAAATGTATTCGCCTCTTCTTAATCGCTCTAGTGCAATGTCGACTGCCATGGAAAGTACTTCACTGAACGATAGTTCCACAAATATCGAAAAGAGGTATCAAAGCGTATTACTATCGGAAATGATGTGTTCAGTAACTGTTTTTGAAAATAGTAGGGGACAAGGAAGTATTTCTCAAGTGTTTACGATTGCATAACAGTCTTCATATACAACACCTTTTCTTTGACGTGAAACTTACCATTGAGTTTCGGCCTAGGTTCTTTAGTGATTTTCTAGAGCCTTGGATTGTTTTCACACACACCGTTCCACTAATGACTTCTGTAATAGCTGGTGAAGTAGAAATCATTGAGGCCAACGAACCATTGTCCTATTCAGAATGCGACTGTCGTGGAAGCGTAGCGTGTTTTGATTATTACTCCTTTGAACATTACCAGTAACGCGGTGCGGAGTGATTTGATTAATGACAGCTTGGGAAAAGGTCTTGCTCTTAGCAAGATCTTAACCAAAAGAGTAACAGCATTTAATATGAATGTGTTTGTAACCAAGGTTTTCTGGTGATAATGTAGCAGACTCACCTGCCAAAGCCCCTTCGTTCCTGTTCGGTCAGAAGAGGCGATCAATGGCGCCGGCGACTCCTTCGTGTTAGTTTGACCTTACTATTTTTATAGAGCTTTCCTACTCACGTCGAACTTACTCAAAGTTGCATACTCAATATCGTTCATATTCCTTCCATTGCAGACCTGAATAACCCATACTCTGGTCAGAATGCTCCGTCGAACGACATTTTTGCATCACCGGTACCGAGTCAGTTGAGAGGTATGGTGCTTTTCTTATAGGGAATTTTAGAAACTACGAGAATTTTTTGAAGGAGAGCCTGCTGGAAATAGTGGCAAATCAGTGCACTGGTCACCTGCGCTGGTTCAGGAACGAGCGCATCCTTACGATATCTCTCGTTCCACGCTCAAATCTTTGCCATCTCAATCGGGGCAGTTCGCCGCTTCATTAACTCTTAGCCCAGGTTACATTTTCAGTGAAACGTGCTTGTTGAAAATCTTGCCTTATTTCTTTCTATTCAGCGCCTCCTCTGCGTTCTCTCAAAGATGATATAGAGCCAGTACGGAAAATGTCACGCCGATCAATGCATATTCGTGCAACGGATTCGTCTGCCACTACGGCATCAGCTTCCCAGCCAGCAACAGAACAGTTGCAGTCGTCCGCTGAAACTTGGGTCACTGTATATGGTTTCCCACCCGAACAAGCAGCCAATGTTCTCAAGCATTTTTCTCGCCATGGCGAAATTATCAGTCACCAGGTATGTTCTAATTTCTCATTTTCTCCCTTGCTTAACTTTAAAAACTTCTAATACGGATTCATCCTCAGTACGAACCTTGTTCTTGAGGTCATTCTGAAACGGAACTTTTCTCTTGGTACATGAATCCTGGGGTAAATCCTATTCTAAGGAGGGCCTTCACATTTCACATCCACTAAAAATCGCTGAGACGTTTGAATGCGTTTGTGGTCTGCACAGTGGCTTGCGGTGGACAGCTGCTATGCAACTCACTATTTTCGTCCTCATAGGAGAGTCTGGCACCATTTGACGACCCTGGAGGATGAACGGCTTTGTCGGGTGGGAGGTATAATTTCGGGATCTGATCTTTAAATCATGAGTGCGATGGAGTACGCCTTTGCCATCAGTATACCATCTCCGCCCCGGTGGGAATTGAAGCTTGATTTGCCTGGTAAAGAATCGATACGGAATTCGAACCGCGGACCATGCGATAGTGGCTGCTTTCATAGCCCGCCGGCGTGCCGGCCGAGGTAGTGCTAGGGGGGAGGAAGGAGGCATCGGTCGACGCGGTCGCGTCGCGCCGATGCCCCTTCAAAGGGCTGAAAACAAGGAAAAACAAGATCAAAAACCAAACACCAGGGACTTATGCAAATGGTTTTTAATCTTGTTTTTCCTTGTTTTCAGCCCTTCGAAGGGGCTTGGCGCGACGCGACCGCGTTGGCCGCCCGTCTGCCTCCCTCATCCCCCCTAGCACTACCTTGGCTGGCGCGCCGGCACGCCGGCGGACTATGAAAGCAGCCAGTGCGCCATTTGTCACTACAACATCTCCGCTCCTTTTTTTCAATACATATGCAATCAAAGTAATTTGTTCAGTTTCACGATAATAAATTCTTTATTCAGGTGCCGAACCAAGGAAATTGGATGCACATTCGCTACTCCTGTCCAGTACATGCACGACAAGCTCTTTGCCGCAATGCATCACTTATTGACTCTTCACTACGTGTTGGCGTAATTCCTTGCTCAGATAAGGTACTGAAATTGTTCGATATATGTGAGCAGTTCGAAAGTTATTCCAATCTAGGACATCGTTGGAACAGACTTTTTCAACTCCAAGATAATGTCACCCCTTTCCAACCATTCATTCATGGTTGATCAATCGATAAGCGAAGAAGCACAGGATGAGATCCTCTCGATCAGTTCTAGTAAAGAAAACCAAGATTTTTCTAATGACTCGATGAGGTGACACTGATTTTTTGACTTCTCTGTTTCTCAAAAATCGATCAAACAACTGAACCCATTTAACCTCAAAATTTTTAGTCGTTGTCGTTTATCAGCGGCATCTAGACCTGGCATGCGTTCGCTTTCCATGCCATATGAAAGCCGTCAAAATAATAAGGTCAGTTATGTGCTGCAGATTGTTTCCAATTTTTGGTTCCAACATTTTACATGATTCCAAGCTTTTCAAGAGATAAACGTTTTTTTTTTTCTTTTTCAAATAAGTAACGTCCGCTGAAACATTTCGTTGCACGGTGTCACCTCAGTCTGTACTAATGTACAAAATATTCGCTTTCAATTTTCAGGACGCTCAGCCAGTAAAACAGGACACAATAATGAATAGACTATGGACGGCTGTGGGGCTCTAAATTAGTGTGACTGGTCTGTCATTTTTTACGTACCCATACCATTGAGCTGTATGTGTAATTGTTTTCTTATTCTGTGAGTAACTCTCAAATATGCGATGCTGATTTTGGACAAAGCTATGTGTAGTTGTTTTCTTATTCTTTGTGCAACTCTTTTATATGAGCTGTTAGTTTTGGAGAAAGCTCTGTGCAAATCGTCTCGGAAGAATTTATACTGTTATACCCGACAGACTTTTCATTTCTACCTTTGCGCAATCGCGCGGATTGAAGCTGACGCTACCGAACCAAAGCATACCCATTTTACGAAAAAAAACACGTTGCGACGCACTGGAGAGAGCGTTGGTCCCAGTTCAAAGTTGTTACTGTAATTCGGTGTTGGAATACGTTAAATTAATAGCATCAATCGCAACCCGAAACTATATACTGTTGCGTAATGAAAAGAAACAACAGTCTTTGAAATCTTTTCATTTAGAAGTCGCTCTTTTCACGCTTTTTCTGTTTATGCTTGTTGTAGTGATGCGAGAACATCATGTAGAGCAGTTCACAAAAAAGACAGACGAATTCGCAAATCGTCATGAAGGAGACTCCCGACCACAGGCCCAGTTGCCCGCCAAAGTCGGCCAGCATTTTCACCACCTGAAAGTAGTGATATGAACCGATCGTTGGAAGAGGGAACAGTAGGTTGGGAACTCAGGTTTTTCATACTTTTAGTTTGTATCAAGATAAGGCTTGGACCTGCCGTCATAAATACGACTGAGTTGCAAATAATCCCTCTCTCAATCAAATGGGATTGGAGTGATTCCGTTATCATTCGGAAAGAGCAACTACTGCTTAAAGTAATTATGGGTTTTTGTACTTTGAGTTCCGAATAATCTGCTTTGTAAGTGCAATGGCCTAGGTCCCTATCTCTCGTGGGCTGAGGAATTGGGGATGTGAACTTACTCCATAAGCTTCTGATTCCGTTAGAGTTTCAAAGTTAAGAGCCTCATAGAATACTTCCAGCATTGCAGCGTTCTCCCTGAATTCAGAGATTTTAATCGCATTCATGGTGGCCACAGTGATACCAGGAAAAAGAGCATATCACATTCAAAATCTATCGTCAGCAGTGAAGATATCGCGGTGCGGTTGTAAGAAGGTCGAAATCGTTCACGTCTTGTGTGAGTTGTTTCAGATGGACCGTGCGATTCTATCGCTGAAAACTATTCGATGCCGCTCACGCCGTTCGCGATGAACACTCCGCTATTTCGAAATCATCGCATTGGCTGCTTCCATAGTCCGCGATTTGGCCCGCGAGCGCGCCGAACGGAGGCGGCGCTTGCCCCTTGTTTACAACTGGCTTCTTCCATACTTCCACGTACGTGCCGGCATGTAGGTGGAAACGCAGGTACAAAATTGCGTGCGGCGTGCGAGCCTCTATACGACGGCGGCGCTATGCAACTGTGCGACAGCAGTCATCCTCGATTTGCAGTATCGACCGATACTTTTTGCTGTCACACAGTTGGATAGCGCCGCCCGCTCGCACGCCGCACTCAATTTGTACCAGCGTTTCCACCTGCGTGCGCACGCACGTCGAAGTATGAAAGCAGCCACTGAATATTAGTTGACACCGCCGGCCGAGGGGTCTGGAATCTTCTCCTCGAAAGCGGCGTCGCGCACGCCGCACCGCCGCGTACCGCAGGATTGCGATGGAAGACACGAGCGCGAAATTTATGAGGTATGAAGCCCTTTAGTTATTTACATTGGCTGGCTGCTCTCTTCAATTCCATTGCGATCTTGATCGACGCTAATATAGAAGGAGTCATTCTAATTAATCAAGTCTAGTAAACGTAAGAACGAAAAAGAAACAGTCAAAAAAAAAACGATAAAATCTAATAAAAAAGAAAGGCAGTCAACGAAAAATATTGCGTCCTATCGATTGGCGGGGAGGCGGGGTGAGTACGATAGTTGCAGTGACATTTGCCGCATGCCGCAAGGGAGAATGCCACATCGGGGAGAAGTTCCGTTACCCCCGGCCGAGTAGTCCCCGGCGCGCGCGCTCGCTCGCTCGCGGGCTAAATCGCGGACTATGAAAGCAACCATTTGAATCGTAAAGTGCTTTGCGATCCAAATTATTTTCCCATTTAAATACAACATTGAGTGCGGCAGGTGCTGCAGAGGTCTGGCGTGTTTCTAGTTGGGAATTATCTAGGAATCACGGACCACTCTTTAGCATCTGACTACTTCATTTTCTGACTCCTCTATTCTCTACACAAAATTGTCTTGAACATGCAGTGGTAGATGGTAGTAGGATTTCACGAAGAAAACTGTTAGAGAAATATTTAGTTTCCACCATTCAGTTCTTTTGTTTTTGTGCAATCTTACTCTTCACCCGTACCTTCGCGCCTTCAGTGATTTTCTTCAATGATAACGTAAATACAAGTTGTTTTCTGATAATTTATTCATTTCTCCACGGTTTTCTAAGTTGCATGAAAAACTCCATGCGCAGGAAAGTAATTCGAAGTGAAAACTTTCCAGCGACATGTAACGACATCTCAAACTCGCAAGGAAACGCGCGGCGCGGTTCTGCCATGACGACGATACGACTGGCTCGTACCCCCATCAAAAGGCCGCTAGTAATCCTTTTGTTCGTTCTAAAACGTCCCTCTTCGATAAGATGTAGAAACGAAAACATGTGTAGCATTGAATATTATAGCGATGGTGCCTTAGACAATATTACAAAGCACAAAATGCAACGAGAATTCGAGGACTCCTCATGCGCATGATACATAAATTTTAGGTTTCGGATTTCATGCGTGGTAATGTTTCAACGGGTTAAAATGCAGTAGGGGGAGGGGGCGGCACCCTTATGTGCTCTGCGTCTTTGACACTAGGCGGCAGGGTGCATAGGGACCGCGCTAGAGCGCAGAGATGGTTTCCAGCCCCAGCGCCTATAATGGTGCGTTTAATAGCTTTTTTGAAGTGAAAATATGTTTTTTTAACCTAGCATGACAATGGAAGGAGCTCCGGAGTGGGTGAGCCAACTGGATGTTAAGTTCTTATCCCATCTCAGCTTTTTGTTTGAAATTGTAATCTCACCCACCCCGGAGATCCATTCCTTCTAAAAGACCATCTCTAAGCACTCGTAAGGTTGACTACCTTCTCCTTCTCTGTGCTCTAGCCTTCCACGATTCGAGAAGGCGCTGCCCCTCCTCTCCACACATTTTCGCCTTCAAACGATTTGTAGAATACAAATTGTTGGAAGGCGATATTACTGACAGACAAACATGCAGGACCTAATTAAATTTATTGGGATGTGTTGCATCCTCTCTCGCTACCCAACGGTCACCTGGACTAGGCCAACCGTCAATCAAGATACGGATTTTATACAGGGCCACTATAGAACGAGCTGACCACCGACAACTGGGCCTCTCACTCATCCCGTTCGTCTAGCTGTGTGTAGCGTCCATCGCATCGGCGCGGGTATGGGTACATACGTGCGTCCGAGAATGCGCGCGGCAAAATGCGCGGCGAAGTTTGTGACGATTTGAACGGCTTAAGCGTTCATTGCTGGGGCCCAGAATTGAAGTAGAGTAGATTAGAAGGATCATCTGGCCCTACTTAACCACTCTACTTCGAGTTTGTGCCCCGAAATTTGGCGTCATTGTCGTGCAATCGTCAAGAACTTCGCCGCGCAGCTAGCCGCGCGCATCCTCGGACGCACGTGAGTTCCGACCCCCATCGGCGCTGGCCGACCTGCCTTGTCCTCTCCTTGATCCCGTCGTGAATGTAACGTAATATATAAATAATAAAGTATGCATATATGCACATGGTATCACCACACACATGAACTCACGTCCCGCTACGTCATCAGTTATAGGCCCGATCACCTTATAATGTGATAGATGTGACCAAATATGACCTAACTACTCTAGTCTTAGCGCCGTAAAGACACGTTGGAACCGTGCAAGGGTTCTGCGGTTTGAATTATCTTACCGCGGGCGAACATTCAAATACAACATCGGTACTGCAGAGGTTTTGCACGTTTACTGTAGGAATTTCTTGCTCGTCCTCAATTCACGGTCTTACAGCCTCATTTTACAGTTCCTCTTTTTTCCACATGAGAAGAACTCGACACGTCTTATTCTACTTCACTTTGCTTCTTCTGGAAACAGAACTGGTGTAGTTGGAGGGGCCACTTGTTTTCCCGTACTTGTCTGCGCCCCCTCTCAGTAAGTTAGTACTGCACTGATCGATTCTTCTTCCATTCCAACCTTTTAGATGAGATCAGCTTTCCACTCACCGTGGTGCTATTCCTTTTTAGGCTTATGGACGGTTTCATCGACGATGGGAACGGACGTTACTCCATGTTAGACATTGCCGGATCGAAGAACGACCTCAACAGGTCGTTACAAGGGTTTCAAAACCTGCTTGGCCGACGTACACACTTAAAAGTGGCCGTGTTATGACGGACCTGAGAAGGCTATCGTAATAAGTCGTTAGGGCACCGAGAAGTGATACGCTTATGAGGAGACAACCAGACAGCACGTAATCTCGAAAATTCACTTTTCCTAGAAGCTTTCTTCGCCTTATTTTTCCAATACTCTGCATCATAACTTCCACTGATTCTTTTAAGCTGTAAATAGTACCTCAGAATTATTATGAACAGTATCTTCAATGTGTAGACATTTACCCGTCAGTCAAAGTGTACATAGCTGTGACAGAACTTACTGATATTGTTCATTGCACACTTCTGGTTCTGCCTCACATGTTCCCAGAGTAATATTTAGCGATTGACTGGGCCATATCGCTTCCGAGTATGACATTGTGTAGATCGTTTGATTGCATGGCTGCTGACACCTGTTTTTTCGAATGAATATTTTACAAAAGCTCACAAGAGGGATTTGAGTGAGTTTCTATGCGAGAGCACAAGTATGATCTCACGACAGAGTCTGTTGTTTTACTAGTTAGTAGAAGTCACTTGGTGAAATGGTGGGCGGCAACGTAACGGTGCCGAAACCATGACAGGCTGCTTTCATAGTCCGCTGGCCGGGCGGCCGGCAGACTATGGCTGCTTTCATAGTCCGCCGGCCGGCGCGCCGGCGTGCCGGCGGA